GGGGAGCGGGCGGCGCTAGGGCCCAGCGGAAGCGGCTCCCTCGCTCTTTTTGCCAGCAGCCCCTTTGGGCGGGGGCGGGGGGCTGCTGCGTGGGGCCCTACTGGCCCAGCCAACGGCCCCGCCCTGCTAGGCCCAAGCCAGGGAGGAGTCACAGGCACGGCCCAGCCACTGGTTGCCAGGCTGCCAAGGCCCTGCCGCCATTTTGTGAAGCCTCCCCTCAGGGTGTTAGCGCCGCGCGCGCTTTACCTCGCGCATGCGCCTCAGAGCCCGTCCGCCTCCTTGCGCATGCGACTCAGTCCAGTGGCCCGCGCGCGGCTCAGCAGCGGCGTCCTTCTAGTTCCTCAGTGCGCATGCGCCGCGCCGCCCCACTGTCGATCGTTGCGCGGGCCCGCTCGCCGTTTGCGCACGCGCTGTTCATACGCACGGCTCCAATGTGCACGCACCACTCTGTCCGTACGCATGCGCCCCTGCGAGGCGCGTTAAGCCCCCGTCGGAGGGCGCGCGGCCGGGGCTGTGCCGTACTCCCAGGCGGCAGGCCCCGCCCACCCGCTGCGCGCGCGCCCTCCCCATCCGGCGCCTCTGATTGGTCAGTGTGACGAAGGGGGCGGAGCTAGCGCCACCTACAAAAGGAAGGGCGCGTGGCCCAGCCAGCTAGGAGCAGGAGCCAAAGCCCACGCCCCAGGGCTCCCCCAGCTGCCAACAGCCACCTGTTAAGGTGGCTTGACCCACCGATTTGAAGGGTCAGGCTGCTGGTGAGCACCCCCTGCCCCTGCGCCCGAGACTAGCAGGACCCTACAGGCAGCGCTGCCAGCATGTGGGGCACAGCCCACGGCTCGGAGGCGCTTGAGCCAGCCAGGGTGTGGTTCTTCTGTTAAGTCTGTAGATGCCTACAGCTTGAAAAGCAGCATGAAATCATTAATTGTCGTAGACCTGCTCAGTCCTTCATAATTTTAAACAACGATAAATTGCTTAGTGTAGCTGCAGAACGAGAGAACCACGGGGAGGATGTGTCCCTCATTGGCGGTTAGCCAGGCTGGGCAGGGATTCAACCCCATGGCCTGGGTGTCTCTTGCCCCGACTGCCAGAAGCTGGGAGTGGATGACAGGGAATGGATCATTCCCTAAATTGCCCTGTTCTGTTCATTCTCTCTGCTGGAAGCCAGGATACTGGGCTAGAAGGACCCAGTACTGATTTTCTTTAGAAGTTTTAAACTACTTAGCAACTCTCTTGCCAAGAACTAGTTATGCAGCAGCAAGGGCACATGCTGTAACCCTTTCACAGTCTTCAAAATACACACGCACTTCTCTGCTAATTGGCTACCCAGCTTCTGGAAGTGGTCACCTGACTCATTTGGTGCTACTCGGCACTAGCTCCTTGGTCAGCCATCAGTGCGGTTCCTGAGAAGAGCCACAGCTGGGAGATATACACACAAACAAACTCTCTCAAATATCTAGTAGACAGCTGTTCCTTTCTCCACCCCTGCTGGCCCAATGGGGTTATAGCTGTTCTGGTCCCCATCTCGGGCCCCTTGCTTCCCCTGTGATCATTCTGCAGTATAACTGGCCCTTCTACCAGACCCCTCCCTTTCCATGTTATGCAAAACAATTTAATTCCAAGCACGTCCCATTGTTCTGTCACAACCAGACCCTGCCCTTGCTTTCAGTTAGGAGAAGAGGAAGCTGCCTGCCAGATTTGATGCCCCAGCTCTTAGGCTGCGTCTAGAATGGCAAGTTTTTCCGCAAAATCGGCTGCTTTTGCGGAAAAGCGTCCGTGCCAATCTAGACGCTCTTTTCCGCAAATGCTTTTAACGGAAAAACTTTTCCGTTAAACGCATTGCGGAGAATCATGCCAATCTAGACGCTCTTTTCCGCAAATGCTTTTAACGGAAAAACTTTTCCGTTAAACGCATTGCGGAGAATCATGCCAATCTAGACGCTCTTTTCCGCAAATGCTTTTAACGGAAAAACTTTTCCGTTAAACGCATTGCGGAGAATCATGCCAATCTAGACGCTCTTTTCCGCAAATGCTTTTAACGGAAAAACTTTTCCGTTAAACGCATTGCGGAGAATCATGCCAGTCTAGACGCAGCTTATGTGTTTAGGTGGAGTTCTTGAGTAAATGGACTCACAGACAGACGCACATTTCTAAAATATATAGTAAGGTGATTAGACAGCACAACAAAGAATAACTATCAACGCTGCAGCCGATGAGACGTTCTTGCCTAATTCTGCCATTGGCTAAGGTTTTGATACATTTACAGAGGCTCTGTCTATAGTTTGTCTCAGTACTTCAGTTTTTTTCTCAGGCAATCTGTGTATTTGCAGCCCATGTTCTAATACTCCAGTAGAGTCCCAGTTATGCAACTCAGCTGGCTTGTGTGTCTCTTGGGCTGGTAGACCCAAGCATCTGATCCTTATTGTTAAAAATAATAGTGCCCACTAAGCAGGGCTTTTCTTTTATGCTAATTCTCAACAAGCTCCTTTTCCCGCTTAACACGACTGTGTTGCATTATGGATCTGCTTCCTCACAATCAAGCCAATAGGCCTTAGAAAAGCACTTGAAAAGTCTGGCCTTGAAGAAAGCTTGGAAGGAATTGATTTTTATCGCGAAATGTCAGTAAATAGCCAAACACACACCAGCAACAGCGTATTTCCGTCGATAATCAAGCTTCAGAGACAGGCAAAGTAAGAAAAAAGCCCTCCTGTTGTTGAGTTAAGGCTGGTTACTCGGTGCATATGACGCTGAGAATTTATCAGAGTCCCAGCTTAACATGCATAAAACATGGTGTAATGAGTAGACCTAAAGAAGGAGTTTGAATCTCAGCATCTACTGCCATTTAATGCTTACTGTCTGACCATCCACCCAGGAGGTCCCACAGCCATGACAACTGAAATCGATACAAATGGCCAAGAGCCATTATTCCATACAGCTGTGGATGGTTTAAATCAATACAAATGCAAAAACCTGAGGCTACGTCTACACTGGCAGCTTCTTGCACAAGAACTCTTTTGCAGAAGAGTTCTTGTGCAAAAACTCTTCCAGAAGAGAGTGTCTACACTGGCATGTGCCTTTGCGCAAGAGCATCCTTGCCAGTGTAGACGCTGTCTTGTGCAAGAAAGCTCTGATGGCCATTTTAACCATCGGGCTTTCTTGCGCAAGAAATTCATGTTGCCTGTCTACACTGGCCTCTTGCGCAAGAACAGTTGCACAAGAGGGCTTATTCCTGAGTGGGAGCATCATAGTTCTTGCGCAAGAAGCCCTGATTTCACACATTAGAACGTCAGTGTTCTTGCACAAGAACTTGCAGCCAGTGTAGACAGGCAGCAAGTTTTGGCGCAAAAGCGGGTGCTTTTGCGCAAGATCGCACCAATGTAGAGACAGCCTTATTTTCTATCTAAGGTAAAATATCAGAGTGACAGTCCTAGCTCAGTTCACGTTTCCCTTTATTTTTCTCATCCCGGTGCCAATCCCTAGGACATGGGTGTCTTTCGGATGTAACGTTAAAGTCCGAGGTGCGATATATGTGGGGGGAAATGTGGCCCAGCCACACAGCAGAGAGCAACAGGCCTTTGGAGCAGAGGTGTCACCTGCAAGGCAATCCCACAAGGAAGTGTTGGGACAGTAGCACCCTGACCAGGCATGCGATGGTGAAGGCTCATGCTGTGTTCACAGATATTGTTCATAAAAATCACGGACAATACATAAAAGTCCATGGACGCCCACGACCTGTCTGTGAGCTTTACTCCAAATAGCCCTGACAAAAGTGGGGGATGGGGGGGAAGCTTTGGGCTCCCATCACTGCTAGGGGGCTGTGCGGGACTCCCCTCTGCCAGCTCCCCACTACCTGCCCCCCTTGCCAGAAGAAGAAGCCATGCGTGGGGTCCTACCCTCTGACGGGCCGTAGTTGCGGTAGCTCCAAACGCTCCGGGAAGAGATGGTGTCTTGCACGTCACCCATCAGAAGGATCCCTGCCAGGCAATGGGACGTGGCCACGTTGGCCTCGTGCGTGGGCAAAGATGCCCTAGAAGATCCCGACGGGGAGCCCGAGACCGTGCATAAGTTAGTGAAATAACAGCTTAGGTCTTGGTGCAGTCCCCAGGGAAACTGAGGCACGCACAAGGTTAATGCAGGGCAGTGGGACTCACACAGAATCCCACTGTGTCAGGCCCTGGTGGAGAGTGAGTGTGATTTGAATGACGTGCCCCACAGCTGGGATCCTGACCCACATCTGACCCGTGCCATAAGGGCATCAGCTGCCGAGTCTGACAGGAGCCAACAACTTTTCATGCCCTGCTGAGCTGTGGCTGGGGCAGGGCACACAGGACACAGCTGCAGCACAAACCACAACTTGATCTGTTCATTCCGCGTGGCCATTCATTAGCAATTGTTAGTTAATTAGTAACGAATGACTAATTACTAATTAGGTTTTGCCCGTGGTCAGTTCAACAGCTTGGCGGTGTCGTGCATGTTATACACGTACAGTGGGGGTAGCTGCTAGCCCTCCAGGCCTGGACTTACGAAGTCTGAGCCGGTTTCCACCGTGTTGGAAACGATTCGGGTTTGATCCTGAGCGGTGGGGGCTGGCTGGACGACCCTTCTAAGCCTGAGAGTCAATGCTGCCCCTGCCCAATGCTAAAGTCAGTGAATGCGGGGCGGGGGGGAATATATTTTTCAAATGACCTCTCTCCCAAATAGAGTCCAGCTTCAGCTCATCCGAACACGTAACCTCTTGGTCCCCCACAGGGGAGCGTGGACGGCCCTGCCTTGACACGGTGCGAATCTCTAACAAGCAAACCCAGGCCCGTCTCAAGTGTGGTGCACGTAGCACGCAGGCCAGGTTGGAGGGGAACTTTGAGAGGCAGGAATGTTTTGCACAATCGTGCAGATACAGCATGGCACACCGAGACCACGGCAAGCCACCGGTACGAGCGCTTCTATTTCTGATAAGCAAGCACGAGATGCAGCCATAAAACTGTTAATCACACATATAGTTTTTGCAACTTCCTGAGTAGCAGGATGTACCCCCAAAATGGGCATAGTAGGTGCCTCACACAATATGTCATTGATTGCATTGTGGAGGCCGCTGCGCGTGGGGAAGAAAAGAGGCCACGACCTCCCGTCTGACAATGGTAAGTTGCTAACGGTGGAGCCGTGAGTTCTAGGAACAAGTACGTGTCTGCTTATAGCCGTACAGTGAACTGTCTTGTGTACCGTCCTGGGGTAGGTGTTATCAAATTGCCTGTGCTACCTCGCCCATGGATTGGAATGGATCTCTGTAACTCTGCATTGCTTTCCTTTACTATTCCAGGTGTAAGAAAGTTAGAGGTCTAGTTTATTGTTGGTGTCTACTGGCTCCTTTCGTAGCCACTATCCCGAACCCGCGACATCCACCCACCCTTGGGCACCTTGTGGTTGAACGGCCCTGCAGTACAATTGAACCTGCGAATCCCAACACCCGTGTTCCGAACTGCTGGGGCAGAACTGGCAGCGCACAACCAGGCGGCGGCACAGAGCAAAAGAGAGAGGCAGCACGTACGCAGCAGTCCTGCGTTGCATGGAAAC